GACGGTTAATAGTACCGTGGGTAAATTGAGTGTGGAGGAAGAATTTAAACACTTTTCTCGGTCGCCAACATGTGTCATCGTTCAAACCTTAGGCCTTTCATGGTAGTATCAAAGTAAACCATGGCCAATAATCAGGTACACGACTTAACGATCACATTTTGGCTTTCGAAAGCTACTACTCAAAGAAATATGGATTACTCCAGAATTGCAACATCGGGGTTCATCCTGAGTAAATGACAGAATAGAAAGGATGCGAACCACGTTGTGTACGTTCGCCATGCACTCTGAATTTAATGCGAGTTTTTTTCATAAAACTAAAAGCATGAACCATACTACCATGCCAATCACGATTATTATGAAATGAAACACACCTTTTACACGCATATTTTAAAGAATATCGTCGACGTCCAGTAAAAACATTCTGGGCTTATAATCGTGAATGCTCTCAACACGATAAATACCAAGTAAAAATATAGGGATGGGCTTCATACTCGGGAGGGGCTTACGATCGGGGAAGTACGGTACTTTAACGTAATTGGGCTTTCACTCTCAGAATACTGTGGTTCAAAGGCATAAAACTCTAACCCAAGTTATAAAAAGCACATTGTGCATATAAAAGTTGAGTTTATACTAGTAGTACACAATGCTTGGCAGCATGAACGGCTATGTACAATGGCGTATACGAATGCGATCAGATACTAAAACGTCATAGCTTCGAAAAGTACCCGGATGTTAAACATGTTCGTTCGTTATTTATTCCCCTCCATGAATGGCCTTCATGGCAAGCACTTCAAATGCCTATCCAAGCTACAGTTATAATCAAAACAAAATTAAACCACTGCAATATTATTTCGAATACAGTTTAGAATATACACAACTATAAATTAAGGCCGCATTTAGGTTCGCTTTAACACGAAATTTAGCTTAATGACACGCCATGAGTCAGAATGCTGTTCAAATGACGTGAAGTTGATCACGAGAGGGCGGTTTTAATTTGAATGGTGAACTGATTTACAGGGGATTTGACCATAATAAAGCTTTTAGATGTGAAAATTTTGTTTGAAAATCTGTGTGAATACATACGTCGACATGCAAATGTCATAATGTTTAAAATTATTATTATTATTATTATTATTATTATTATTATTATTATTATTATTATTATTATTATTATTATTATTATTATTATTATTATTATTATTATTATTATTATTATTATTATTAATATTATTATTATTATTATTATTATTATTATTATTATTAATATTATTATTAATATTATTATTAATGTAAATATAAGGAAAGAACGAACGCAAGGTATTATTTTAGTTCTATCAACGTCCATTAGTTTGAAATTGGTAATAATGAAGTAGAAAATTTGATTATAAATTAAGTTAGGTCTCAAGCGTCTCCAGACTGGCAAAAGTTATCAAGTTCAACTGTCCGAAACACGTTGCCCTAATTGCCAACAAACTGCATTATTACGGCGACCAGGCTGCCGCTAATCGTCTCAGCAAACGCAGATAGCAGGTGGAATGCGTCATGAAAAACAGTATGTTCTTTTCGGAGTAGTTTAAACCATGAGTAAATAAAATGTGTACTACGTCATTATACCATGTAATCTTAGTCTTGGGAGTGATGTTAATGGGTCGACTATATGAACAAAGTCAACAATAAAGCTTCTCATTTAGTGTAAGTAATGAGTCGTGTTGCATATTGCAATTCAGCCTGTAAAATATTATTGTAATTACAGTTTCAAATTTAAGCGATACTCCGAAAAATTACATTCAAGGTTTTATTTGATTGCATTGAAAGGTATTTGCTTAATTGGAGCAAAACTATATTTTCTCATTGTGGCTTAATGACGCAAATGAAAGCGATTGAATCCGTTATGATATTGTTGCCTGCGTTTTAATAGGTTTATCCGGGAAATTAAACAATAATTTATACAGACGGTTGCCTCTCAATGCCATGATCATTATCGGTTTTGTCGGAAATGTATTGCACTTCTCCAATTGAGGTAATTAATAAGTTTTGTGTTAAACCGGAAACACTACATATTCATCTTGCACGGATATCCATCTATAAAACCCCGAATCGTCGAATTCAACGGTTCATACTTCGCCGCTGCATCACTCAAGATCCTGAGACAAGTATTCAAGGAACCCAAAATGAAGTTTGTGTTTTTCCTCACGATGTGTGCGTTGGTTGTTATGGTTACATGTCATGAATATAGAGATACGGAAAATGACGAGGTAAGGAATTTGTTATTTCAACGGGGTTAAAACGGGGGTGACCGAGGTAATCATGCGAGATGCCTTCGAATATTTTTGTTTTCCAAATTACTCAGCACCATTAAATTGTCGATAAGATGGCAAAACAGATCTTAATCTCAATTGCGACCTCTGACACATAAGAGAATAATACTTTAAATTACCAGGAATTTATTTTTGCTGGAGGAATGAATATTTTTTTTTTTTGTCTCAGCTCATCAAAAATCGGTGAAAATAAAATTCCCACAAAAATAACTAAAATAAAAGTATTTTACAATTCCTCGTTTTATGGTCTATAGTTCCAAAGAACTACTAACTTCCTGTTCTTATGTGTATCATTATGTATCCGGTACTAAGGCGTGATAACATTTCAATGCACGGCCAAGTATGCATATAATGTAAGAGGGCCATATATGTCGTATTGTTCGGCCTCGTAATGCTATGCAAAACACGGTGATCGAGCCAGAATAATTTGCCTTATTGTATGGCTAATATATTTCACTAATAGTACTCGACATTTCGAGAGAAAGACAAAAGCGCCAACCAATATTGCGAGAGGTAAATCATTGTGTTGTTCTTCGTTAGCTTCGTGTACAATCTAATTGTTTTCGATGGTTGCTACGATGCGTTGTGTTTGGTGTGGGTCCCACTAATCGAATATTTTGTGTACTACACTTTTGAAGGATATTGGTTTGTTTTCTCTTATTCTTCGATATCGCGCAGTGTATACGTAAAAATTCAAAACTTATTAATAAATTTATTCATGTCGCCTTCTCAGTTTGTGTGTTAGGAGGGTTTAAAACTAAAGCTGTCAATCAAAGCTATGTGTATTCCAAATGTGGTTAATGCGCCCTCGCCGTTGAAGTTTTATTGATGTTTGCGGTTCTCGGACAAGTGAGGGCGCAATAGCCAACCGTCATATTAAAGAGCAATTGCTTTCACACTGATCTATTTTATTCCATTACTGTTCTATTTTACACAGCAGACAACACTAGAAGATTTGTTTAATGAATTTGTGAAAGAGAGGCTAGAAAAGAAAGCAAGCTCTAAGAGAGGTAAGACGGTTTAGAAATGAGATGCGCCTTTTTATGTACTTTTAGATAAAAAATAAACTTTTTTTTAATTTTTGAAGTGTATACATCAATCTAATGCTATGAATATTGAACACACTTATTTCAGTGGAGCATACTGAAAACAGGTGTTTTACATAATTAATGGGCGATGCAAACAAGTATACATTCTATATATGAAATGTCTCTACAAAGGTTATACCTGACTGGATAGTTAAAACAAAATTAATGTGCTAGAGCCGTTGAAATAGTATATAACAATGCTGATACAGAGTGGGTCATTATGCAAATTAAACAAATACCCCCTGTTTGATTGCAATTTCTAAATATTCATTTTTTTTCGCCTCAAATGGTGTCTGCGTTGTTTGAATACTTAAAGCGGGAGGGTCGTCACCTACGCACGCGCGGGAATTGAGTCCCAAGCGACGATAACAACACACGCTAAAACGCAAAGGCTCATGAGTAGACGCTTGTTTGTAGCTATGGCTATCTGATGCGTGCACAAGTGACGACTCCCCCGCTTTAAACTATACATTAGAAGTGGACGCAAAACATGTATGGAGGCGTAATTTGTGTAAATCATCGATATAACCAATTTGTGTTGATTCTTGCATTTGTTATTGTGATTCAAATGAAGCCAGTTAACACAAAACCGGACGAAAATTATTCAGGTTCATCGCGGTTACTTAGTAACCGTGGGTTAATTTAGTTTTCACAACATGACGTAACGTAACATGACATTGACTGCCACAATTAGAACAATAATTGACCAAAATATCTTTGTAGAAAGCATTTGTTCTGAAATGTTCACAACACATTGTTTTGTACAGACTGACTTGTTTCACGGTCACGTGATCAGTCAATAAAAACGCAAATAGTCTATCTACAGTTATTTATGCCGTCAACAAAAATACACCATGGTAAATAATATGTCATGGAATAAAAATGAGTAATCTTGTGTTTTTTGGAAATATTGTTCTCATAATATCTAAAATTGCAACTTCACAATTCTTAGTAGAACTATGGGGTCGCGGCTATTTTTCATATGACAATTTCCCTTTGGAAATAACAATTGTTTATGTCATATCCATATGTGTTTGTAATTGACAATCAGAGGAGTAATTTCTCAGCATCCATACCTGTTATGTTTGATAATCATGAATAGTAATGAAGCAGTACGTACACGGTGTACCTTGAGTAAACAAAAACTTGTGCTATTGTTATGAGGAGTAAACGCGCACTTTTTTATAGGAAAAAAACAGTTATTTAATAAAATATATATGACAGTATATATAAGAGTAAATGCCAAAGTATTGTTTTTTTTTTAATTTAATATTTAAAAAAAAAAGACCCTAAAAAAACATCCTGCTACCTTAAATGTTTTACAAAAAGTTGCTAAAAAAAGTACAGCCCATCGTGCCTTGCGGTCTCACTACCCAGTCACAGGATAACTTCCTGTTGGTGTTGTGTGCTCACAATTTGATATGTATTGTTTTATACTGAAATGAATTCGTGATATCAGGTCACGTGGCCATGCCCCACTATTATTATACGTAACCCGCAGTTGTGAATGTGTGATATTTGAATTATTAATAACGATATGACGTATTTATTCAAACAGGATGTACACTTTGGAAAGGTATATACCAATGTCAATAGGCTGGTGATGATGATTGACTAAAACGACGCGGGACGCGCACTGTGGTGGACACTGCAATATCGTGAAATAGAAAACACACACCCACTTCAAGGTCAAATACGGTTTGCGGAAGAAACCCGTGGAATGTTAAATGTTCGCATAATGTTCTTCTTACCAACAACACGCCATAATCATGCCTAGATATCCTCAATTTGTTATAAATAAAAGCAGTCACTGACAAAATGAAATATTTCGAAGATCAAAACAACTGATGTATTATCACTTTTGTATTGTCATTACTGGTAGAAGTTGTCGATAAATATGTTAAATACCTTATCACGTGACTATGTAATGTTCATTCAATGCCGTAATTAAATTAATTTATCATGATTAAACATGACTTAACGCATCAATTCTTGTTACTAGTACATCCAACCCAGTGTCCTGTCGTTGTTAGTCCCCATTCGGACGCAGTCTGAAAACTCCTGCGCGTGTGTGAGTCTCAACTTGTATCTCGGACATGCCAAGGCTGGTCATATTCAATCTTCAACATGCATGCGTCATACATTTTGAGTATCATATTCATTTTACGTTCATATTCAAGATGGCCGAATGGCGGTTATATTTTGTTCGTGAAATTCGTAAAAAATGACATTCCGGAACCAGATTTCGATTTCGTTCAAACTTGACACATTAAAGTTATGCATATAGGGGACTTTGATTCGCGTCATTTTGTTTTTGAGATCAGGTTCAAAATGGATGGTATATGCACATATATTTGTTTGATTGACCAATTCAAGGTGGTTGAAGAGCGGCCATTTTAATGTTAAAATACATCAAAATCCAGCATTTCCGCCATTACGGTTCTCGATCGTGCTTGCACAGCCTTTTTTTTTGGATCCGACTCGAAATGTTCGCCGAGGTTGTCGTCGACATGAGTCTCTTGAAATACATCGAGTTCGTGACGACTGCATGGCATGCCAAAATGCAATACAAACACTAAACTGGCATGTACATTTCAAAAATGGTGGTTAATTTCCAAGCAATTATAAACGCTCAGCTGATACTGCTCCGCGTACAATATAAGCCGTACAATGACGCCGTTCCTCTATTATGTTTTGGGTATCCCACTGCTGTATTAGGTTTTAAAAAATAGTTAGAAAAGCAAAGACAAGTGTTTAAAAGTTTACTCAGATTGCAAACTTTTGCATTGCAGTCCAGTTTATCAAGCAGGTGTGTTCTACTAGTAATATGCAATGCATAACAAAGTCTTCTTGATATCATTTCAATGTTTCTAATATGGTCAGAGCTCGATTTGTATATAGTTGAAATGTTAGGATGGGACGTGCCCATAATAATTTGAATACAAAGATGACGTGGAATAAAGATTACTGAAGATGCAGACAGTCCAGAACAAAGTGAATACGATCTTAGAGGGCAGCGATACGTAATCCACACCCCTCATAATTCAGTTTACAGATTGGATTGACGTACAATTGCGAGTAGTTATATTTTGAACTTTTGGCTTGCAATATGTAAGTACCGGTGAGAAGTCTGTTTGTATTCTTGGTTTCCATATAATATGTAGTGATGTTGGATTCAACATTTTAAATTTGAGTTGGGTGGATAAATGGAAAATTTTAATACCTATTCAGCATAACACCTTGCTTTAGAAACTCAATTACATCATGATACATTCACATGATTTAATGCTTCAGGCATTTCACGATTTATAGGAATACGTTTACATACAGTTGTTTTGTTTTGTTTTGGACAACTGTTAGTTAGAATATCTCAATATAAAACGTTCTGCTCACTGCGAGATTCTGCGTTATGCCGGAAATCGAACGAAAACATAGGACAAACTAAGCATATGAGATGTTTGCTTACAACTTGTGTTTTAATTCTGTATGAAACAATTCTGCGTACATTTTGTACGTCTGTTATCAGTCAGCCCAAGAGGTAAACTAATACGATAAACAGCCAATGTCAATAGGGTAGCCATTTTTTTTTTTTACAAATGAATAAAGTACTAATGGCAAATCAAACTCAGCATAGGTGGGTCTCTAACCTCAGATTACTATTATAATAATAGTCTGAGCTCTAACATATGCATTTGATTTATTTAGTGTATTTTTTTTAGACCCAGCAGCTCTCAAAACCTAATACTAGTAATGACGTAAATAATCCATCGACTTTTTACTTTTTCCTCATAAAGGCGTGTTGGATGTCCCCTCTCTGGATACCAGAGTGAGTATTTGCTGTTGTACTTAAGAAAAAAGCTCAGCACTAAACACGAAGGAAAGTTTTTGGTTTAAAGTAAGATTTAGATTGTGTTATACTAATCCAAATCCCTTTGGAAGAGTTGTAAGAAGAAATGTTCATACGGGTCATAGCGTCGTAGTATATTTTAGGCATCTTCACACTTGATAAAGGTAAATGCGTTTTTTTTTTCTCTGAAAAGATTGGCACTTCACCATTGAACTATTAAAAAGTGGATTCAAGTTCTAAATTGGCAGTTTTTATGTGCAATTTACTATTTCTGTAATACCAACTAACTACTTGTACGTAATGGTTAATCTTCTGCAAAAGTGAATTCTACCATTGTATCTGTTTTAAATAAATTTTATCATAATTATAGTTCTTTCTGAATTACATGCTGGCATGAATTTACAAATTTTGGAAAAAAACAAAAATAATTAAGAAATCTTTCACCAATTTTAAATTGGAAAGTTATTATTATACCATCAAAAATGTGAAATGTGAAAGGTACTAACAAAAGTGAGAATTTCTGACCACCGTCTTGAAATTGAACCAGGCAGAGCAAGACCAATTATCAAATTCAGTGTCTGAAACATAATACTGAGTTATATTATTTGATAACACTGAGAAATAAAATGCAAACTTTGAAAACTACAGTGACATTGACAAATTTGTATGTATCTCCAAATTAGATAACAAGTCGCATTTAATTAATTGTATAGCAAAAACTAAAAAAAATAAATAAATAAACAATTACGTAATTTATATATTTCGCCCCAACATCATTTTCAAGGTAATTGTGTTTTTATATATTTGCTACATTTAACATTCAATGTCGTTGTAAAGTGAGTTTATTGAATTAATCAAATTTCCACAAATATAGATTAGAGGAAACCGATGTCACGAGAATTTTTCCTTTGCGGTGTTAATGATGAACGAACGTAATGACACTAACTTTCCAATTCAACATCATATCCCAGAATGCACCACTCAACATGGCGCTGATACACTCAGGTATGTATGACCTCATTTCTCCGTGTGACACCAGGGCACCACACTAAGTTATCGATGATTTAATCCTGTAATGATGTGTATCGAAATATTTACACATCTATTTTGTGTATTTCCCACTCGCAGTGGTCTTCAGAAACACGCGAATTGTTAATCGAATTAAAAGCATAGTTGCAGAGAGATGGAGAAAGTCGATGACCTAGTCTCAAGGCTGTCTTGTTTTTTACATTCTCAATTAATAATATCACCAAGGACAGCGTATTAATTATCGTGGTTAAAAATAAGTCGTTGGTATCACGTATACGTCACTGAGCTGTACACAGTGATTCGACGTCTGTTTTTTTTTTTTCTCTCTAAATTATTTAAATATCACATTTCAGTATGTATTAACGCGTAGCCGGGTTCGAAATGTCGAATTCTTTACACCAGACCAGTTTTCACCGCAGCGCTTTGTAGGATAGTGGCCCTGCAAGACTAGCAGTAAAACGTAGTAGATATGGCCAACGTTGATGCATTTGAAGATGTTTCATTGGAAACGGGTGACTTCGAAGAGTTTCACTATGAGACTCAGTATGTGGTACTGAATTATTTGGGAATGGTGCCCCCGGTGTTGGAGCTAGGCTCACAGGATGGTGACGAATCGGATGGGGATAAGCCAGATGATGAGGTAAAACATTTTCTGTAATTCTAATGTGAATATCTTTAATTAAAATTGCTGGTATTGTTCATTCAAGGTCAACTTTATTTGACCTTGCACAATGATGTAGAAAGACAAATTCTCACTTTAACTAACAATTGCCAAATTCATAACATATTAAAATAATTACGAATTGTTAAAAAAGGGTTGTGAAAGACACTGACTTGAAAATTGGAATGTAATTATTTTTTTCAGCAAATATTTTTGCAATAATTTCTCTATTTTTCTATAATTTTGTTTGATAATTTTGAACCAAATGGACATAATCTTCTATTGATTATAGGTTTTGTTCAAAATTTTGGTGAAATATGAACAAAATTATGTGGGATTACAATTTGTGACAAAAGTTGACTTTAGCGCTCAAAAGGGTTAAGGTGATGCTGTTGTCAGAATCGCATATATGATCGTTCTACTGCTGTATTACGGTATTATTCTGTAATCTCTGGTTGGTCTGTACCAATATCACATGAACTACACGTAGTTCATTCAAAATTTTTACTTACAGGGGTTCTCTTGTCTCAAAATTAGCTTACGACATCTAGCTTCATGGGGCAGGGCAATATTTTTAATTAATCTAAACACTGAATTTATTAACCTTTTCACCACCAGACTTTTTTGCCCAAATTATTCTGCACTTTTTTTAGCTCCGCTGTCGACTTTGTCGAGCGGAGCTTATCATATGAGTGATTGTCCGTCGTCGTCCGTCCGTCGTCGTCGTCCGTCGTCGTCGTCCGTCGTCCGTGTCAATGTTTTACTTTTTCGACTTCTTCTTGAAAACTACAAGCCTGAATGCTTTGATACTTGGTGTATATGTACCTTGGGTAGACCTCTCTCAGATTTGTTCATTTCATGATGATATCTTCAATTCTCTAATTTTGGTGAATATTTTTGTCATTTTTAGTAAAAAGTGATATTTTCGACTTCTTGTTGAAAACCGCAAGTGCAATTGCTTTGATATTACATATATAGGTACTACATGTGGACCTCTCTCAGATTTGTTCATTTTGTAATGATATCTTTAATTCTCTAATTTTGGTGAATATTTTTGGCATTTTTGGTAAAAAGTGATATTTTCGACTTCTTGTTGAAAACCGCAAGTCCAATTGCTTTGATATTTACATATATAGGTACTACATGTCGACCTCTCTCAGATTTGTTCATTTTGTAATGATATCTTCAATTCTC